AATAGGAAAGGACTCTTCTCCTATAAAGGCAAAAAAAAAGCCTGAAAGCTTTTTTCCCTTTTTACATATCTAGTTAAATCCTCTTTACATGAGGAAGGATGAGTATGAGAAGAGTGCAGAATTGTGCAGGTGATTACAGTGTTGGATACTGAATGCATATAGTTTGTCCACAGCCTTTTGTCTCATACAAAATTATATAGCCAACTCTGGTGACTTATTGTGGTCGGCCACAAACGGATAGTTAGGCATTTAATCCACATTCTTCTCCACAGGAGAGTTGGTCAAAATCTTCAGAACTCAAGCCTACTAATGTTTTTGTGAGATGCGTTTTATTCATTAACCTTGAGGTTGGTGACTTCTTACTGTACTAGACAGTGGAAAGAAGACTAGTCGAAACATCAAGGCATAGCCTACTCTACATCTTCAAATGTTACAGCAGTGAAATATCAAAACTGTATAGTTATTTACTGCATACTAGAAATTTTTTACACTCACCACCATGCTCCTGCTTCATTCACTTTCCTCTTTAAAGTCAGGGCAGAGCATAACAAACAGTGACACATGGTTTTGGGTTTCTTCAGAAGTTCAAATAGAGGACGCCCGCATAGTGAACATACCCAAAGGGCTCAGGCCCCAACACTGCCAGCATCAACACCAGTCTTTGTGCTTGTGCCTCCACCTCCCTGGTATCCTCCACCACCCCACGCACTTCCTCCTTACCATGTCCCTAAGCACCACATCCACATGTCTTTTAAATACCTCCACCACTTCCCTGGGCAGCCTGTTCCAAGGCTTGACAACCCTTTTGGTGAAGACATTTTTCCCAATATCCTACCTAAACCTCCCTTGGCGCAACTTGAGGCCATTTCCTCTCATCCTATCACTTGTTACGTGGGAAAAGAGACCCACCCCCACCTCGCCACAACTTCCTTTCAGGTAGTTGTAGAGCGCAATGAGGTCTCCCCTCAGCCTCCTCTTCTCCAGGCTAAACAGTCCCAGTTCCCTCAGCCGCTCCTCATAAGACTTGTTCTCCAGACCCTCCACCAGCTTCGTTGCCCTTCTCTGGACACGCTCCAGCACCTCAATGTCTTTCTTGTAGTGAGGGGCCCAAAACTGAACACAGTATTCGAGGTGCGGCCTCAGCAGTGCCGAGTACAGGGGTACGTTCACTCCCCGACTCCTGCGGGCCCCACTGTTTCTGATACAAGCCAGGATGCTATTGGCCTCCCTTATCTAGGGAGGAGTTTTACAGAGAACAACAGACACTTAAAGAGGAGTAAGTATCTGGCTCAATGGAGTTGCGTTGTTTTTCATTCTTGTATTTCAATAGGATATCAGACTGCAGTTACACTAAAGTGCATCTGACATAAGGAAAAACGACACTGTTTTTTCCCATATACTTTTTCATTGCAGATGGTAAACATGCATAATTAAAACAAGACAAATGTAATTGAAAATTTTTATAAAGTTCTTCAATTTGCAGCAGCATTATGTCAGCAGCTGAAGGAAGATTTAACATAAGCATATGGAGAGGGAAAAAAAAACCCCAAACCAAATTTGGGACGAAAACAATTGGGGAGAGTGACTGTTTTGAATTAACTTCTTTTTTTTTGTGTGTGTTGTGTTTTTTTTAAGGTCCAAGTCTCCCTATAATGCTTCATCTTACTCTACAAGTTCGTATACCTGCTCCACATCAAGATCAGGTTCTTCCCACTCTTGCTCTTACTCTTGATCATTTAGTCGTTCCCATTATCGTTCCTACTCGCGATCGCCGCTGTATCCAAGAAGAGGCAACGGGAAGAGTCGTAACTATCGTTCTAGGTCAAGGTCACGTGGTTATCACCATTCAAGGTCAAGGTCACCCCCATGCAGAAGATGCCATTCACGGCCAAGGTGTCCAGTATTTAGAGACCAGTCTCCCACTAAACAGACTATAACTCAAGGGGAAGGAGGAAGGGAGTATTTGAACAGATACAGAGAAGTTCCACCATACGATATGAAAGCGTACTATGGCAGATCTGTTGACTTTAGAGATCCATTTGAAACGGAAAGATACAGAGAATGGGAAAGGAACTATAGAGAATGGCATGGAAAGTTTTACAAAGGCTATGCTGTTGGCGCTCAACCTCAACCTCCAGTAAACAGAGGGAACTTTTCTCCAGATAGGTTTGGCCCACCTGGGACCAGACAAGAGAATTCACCATATGCTCGGGGACGTAGGGAGGATTATCCTGGTGGGCAGAGCCACCAAAATCACAATATAGCTGGAAATGACCCTGGAAAACCTTCTGAAAAGGAAAGCCATGGCATCAAGGATCCTACAAAATCAAAAGAGGAGGAGGTGGAAAATCCACTGGGAGATGGAAAGGGAAATAAACATAAAAAACACCAGAAGAGAAGAAAAGGGGGTGAGAATGAAGGATTTCCCAATGCTGAGTTGTTAGAAGGTGTGAGAAAACCAAGAGAGCCAGTTACAGCAGAAGACGTTAAAACGGACTCCCTGTTCATGCTCCCAAGCAGAGATGATGCCACCGCTGTGAGAGATGAGCCTATGGAAGCAGATTCTATTGCTTTCAAACCGGTATCTGAAAAGGAGAAAAAAGAGAAGGATAAGCCAAAAGCAAAAATTTGCAAGACAAAGCGGAAAGTAGAAGTGGCTGTTCCTCCTAAGAAAGACAATATAATAAAACCAGCTAAAGCTTCCCAAGAGAAGGTGGACACCGATCGTGAAAAATCTCCTCGAATGGAACCTCCTGTGAAGAAAATGAAGGAGGAGGAGCCAACCTTAATTAGTTTATATTCTTAATTCATCTTCATATTATCTCTTATAAAACATTTGTGAACTTGTGCATGCTCTTTATTTTGAAAAAAAGCACACAGTATCAATTAGAATTTCTCAGTGTTTAGCTATAGCTGCTAATCTTTCCAGAGCAGAGCTGTGCTGTAAAACTTGTTTTTCGCAGAAAGCCAGAGAAATCACAAGGAAAGATCTGCCCCCTAGCAGTCAAATGAAGTAGAAGAGCCAATAACTGCAAATGTGACTTCCAAGTAACTCAAGTGGGCTAACAGTGAGATCTTCAGGCAAGCTTACTGCGCTGACTGAGACCAAAATCTTAATTGGAATGTATAGTTAAATGGGCAGCTTTCTCCCTAGATTTCTTATTTGGGAATTCATAAGCATCCAGTATGTATTAATGTAATGGTTTGGTTGTAGTCCAACACTACTTATTAATTCTGATTTGGGGATTTGCTTTAATTAGATAGTTACTTTAACAGTGTTGTTTAATTCTAGTTTGATTGAGTTTCTAATGGCTTTAATCTTAGTAATATACTCTGACCTATACCCTGGTGGGAATTCCAGCTCTTCTGACAACAGCATGCTGCTGCAATACCGCTTGTGGGGTCAGGCAGCACACGGAGCTGCAGCGAGGGCTGGGGACTAACAAGCAGAGCGACACCGGCTGACAAGGCGGCAGATGTCGAGCCAGGTGTACGGAACAGGTGCCTGGATGGGAAGCTCTGCTGCACGAGCCTACGCTGACCCAGCCCTCCTCCTGCCCGGGTGGATGCCAAAGGCACAGTGGCACAGAGCTGCTGGCTCCCGCTGGGCTGCAGGCCCCACACAACACGGCTTTCACAGCAGGAAAATAAAAAGGTCATTCTGCTAATTTTCTGCACTTGCTGTTCTTTCTCAAACATACTAAGGCTGTGCAGGCTGCTGAGAGAGCTGATGGAGGATCAGCAGCAGGCAGTTAGCTCTACCAGCCACAGGAGATGGGGCTCCTGCACACATCAGCTAGTGTTGAGACCTGTGTACATGTTCATCAGGGGCATGGCTTAGGCACACTCACCCGTGCAGGACCTTACAGGAGGGCTGGCTGGGCTACACCTGTTTCATGGGGACAGCAGGCAAGTACTCCGAGACTTCGAACAAAAGCCACTTGTCAACATTCAATCCAGAGAAAATCCATGACTGAAAAAACTAACCAGCCTAAAAGGCTGACTGTTAGGCAGCAGACCCTGGATGTGATTTCCTACAGAAAGCTGAAAACTACTGTTGTAGCTTATTTGCTAGTGTTATACAGCCATCTAGAAGTGTAAAGTCAGTCCTTTTCTCCTGCTCACCTTTCTCTACTGGATATATGCTACTTTGCTCTTCCTTTTCCTAGCACTGCAGCAGTTGCCACAGGATTTAACCACCTGCTAATCCGAGGCTCGTCCACTGTGGTCACTGAGGGCAGCAGGGATTTCCTCCTGGGAATACTCAGTGTGGCCAACGGCAGCTGCTTGGGGAAGCAGCAGGCAAGAACATGAACCCACTATACGTAATGAAACGTAACTCCCTTTCCTCCACATTTCTGGGCATATGCTCCCTCTGCTCTCACAAAGTTCCTTATTTTAAAGGGCCTGATCAAATAGAGAACACTTCAACATTATATACCTTAGCCCCTAGAGTATATAAGCCTGTTTCTTCTGTACCCTCTTTCTAGTCAACTTATGTAATTAAAAGGTAACATCTAACAAAAGACATCCTGTGGTACAGTAAGAATAGAGAGAGCAATTTTGGGATGGAGGATGATAAAGAAGAAAGAGTGCTCTGCACCTGTTTAGCATGTGTCCTTGAGCATGAGGCACAAGTCCTTTTCTTTTGAAGAAAAAAGATTAAATTTGCCTCAACTCTAATTCAAACTTGCCGGTCACTCTCTAGTCAAATAGAATTGCATGGGCACCACAAAGCAGGCTCGACACTTTGCAACGGACACTGGGGACAGTGCGAGACGCAGTGGTAGCGGCGGTGGGAAGCAGCGGCATGGGACACACGAGGCCTCCCCCAGGCCAAAGAGACGACGACAGAACAGGGGGCGATCCCCGAGCCATGGGGCCTGGACCACTGGCTGGACAAGCCAGCAATGGACAGAGGCAGGAATGGACAG